TTAATTCCTTTTTTTTTCTTTTGCTCTTGGGCCCACCCCACAACTCCTCTCCCTACATACACTCATTTATCCGTTTCCATGATGTCCTTTTTTTTATCCTATATGGCTTATATATGTACTTGCATGTGCGCGCACATACCCCTTATGTATCTGAGCATCGGGCACATACATATAAGTCGTCATATATGCGCTTGTGAAATATTTTGCATGCTTTTATCATAATTTTAATTAAATGCGCAAATGACTATAAAATTTATGTGTGCGTTGCATCTTTTTCTCTTTCTTTCATTTTTATTCTCATCCATTTTTTTGCTTTTTTCAACTTTGCCGCCCACAAAACATTAGATTGATGCTGTGAAAAACCACTTGTAAAGTTGAAGTGCACATTTTCTATGAATACGTAATAAGAAAAGGCAGCGCATATTTTTTCGTTCTATATTGATATAGGCAAAAGTTCCATTTCCCCATCAAGTTTCGACCGAACTATAAAGATTGAGGCGAAAATCAAAGCAAAAAGAAAGGCTGAAATAAAAGTATTGAATCGGAAACTCAGAGGGAAGAAGAAACAGGAGAATTAAAATATAAACCAAGTAAAAAACAAATTCCCGAAAACCGATCAGCCAGAAGCAAATTGAAGCACCAACATTTAAAGAAAGTTAAGGGCGAAGCCTGAAACGAAGTCTGAAATAGAGGAAGAAGCGAAGTCAGAAAGCAAAGCGTGAACGATAATCAAAACAAAGTGCAAAGGAAGGATGAAAAATAAAGCATGAAGCATGAAGAAGCGCATTACAAGAGGCAAGATAAGCATAATAATAAGAAAAGCATAAACGAAGCAAGAAGCGATGTGAGGAAACAAAGCGTGAAAAAGAATTTAAAGAGAGAGCAAAGCGAGAGGCAGTTAAAGAAGAGAAACAAGAGAAGTGAGAAGCATAACAAAAATCAGAAAGATAAAGGCGAAGCATGAATGGAACTTATGTACGAAGCAAGAAGCGAAGTGAGGATAAAAAGCGTGAAAAAGAATCAAAACAGAGTGCAAAGCGAGAAGCGGTTAAAGAAGCAAAGCAAGAAAAAAAAGTGAAAAGAATAACAACATTCAAACAGAATGTTAAGCAAACGAAAATGCGAAATGAAGCGAAAAGTGAGAAGCGAAATGTGAAGCAATATAACGAACGTAGTTAATGAATGCTTCTCGCTGTATAAGATAAGCTGTACTTAGACATAGCTGTACTCTCGACATGGGTAAAGAAAGAGACATCTGACTATATAAATAAATAAGGAACAGGCTTCACTGGATTCGACCTCTCGACTCTCTCTCTCTCTCTCTTTCTCTCTCTCTCTCTCTCTCTCTCTCTCTCTCTCTCTCTCTCTCTTTTTTAGAGCCGTCATTTCCGGTAATTAAGAATTATAAACTTTTAAGGGGCGTTCTAGTATTTCTAATACCTTTTTTACCTTGATTGCGTTGTGGGACTTGGCGACTGCCAAAACCCTTTTGGCCCACACCGGAGCATTTAAAAATATTTAACAGTGCTCGTAATGCTTATTCAATGTTGAACTGTCTTTTGGGCAGGAAAGGCTACGCGAAGCTGTTGGCCCGCACGGACGCAGCCCAACTCCAGTTGTTGGCGCACATAATTCAGCGCTGCCTGCGTTTTGGCTTTAATTAATTAATTTATGAATTTATATGAAAGTTATGTTCACGTGCCTAATGAAAAAAGGCAGCTGAAGCTGGTCGTGCACAGTTCCTTCAGCCCGCTTTTCCGCTTTGAATGCCGCAATTTTTATAATTTCTTGACATTTCCATTTCCCATCATTAACCAGTTGATTTATGAACTCCGAATTGCCACGCTCCAAACGATCAAATTCGGAAAAACCGTATCCTTCGGTAAAGGAAGAGATCTTTTCTCATAATTTCCAGTCGCTTTCGCAATTTTCTGTAAATATTGCCCAAATATTTAATGGGTTTTTTTGGGTAATTTTATGCGATACTTTTTTCGGAATTAGCGGCGGTATTATATCCGAAAGTTGAAGGAAAATAATATTATTCGGTTACTCCTTGTGGATCCTTTTGAGACATGTCCGCAATATGCAGAACTCGTTTATGATTTCATTAAGATTCCCTTTTCTTCAGGGATCTCTATCGCAGGAGATTTTCACGACAGAAGAAGCAAGCAACTCTGATAGTTTTTCTGACATGACACATTAGAAATATTTGCGATTAATAAGCTATATAAATTGTTTTTCCCTTCCTTTCTTATATTTTCAACTTATCTACCAACCAGGGTTCTCAGACCCTGCTTTAAATGGCCTGTTGCCATGCCAGTATCATTAGTTATTATATTCAGCAAAGTTTATTTATAGTTGACTTAAGCAAATAGGCTAAAATCGCGGCAATGTTCACCGAAACAGTGTCTGGGGGGGCAAAATTAATGCCGGACACAGCGTTCGCTTTGTGTGCCAATTGTTGTTGCTGCTGTTGGGTCTTTTATTAATCGTTGCCACATTTAAGCCCAAAATACGCTCTCGAATTTAGAATTTCTCTCTCTCTCTCTCTCTTTTTATGGAGATGAGCGCGTGCACAAGCCCAGCTGTCAATTAAGCGCCAGGACTTACTCTCACGAGAGCGCAGTTCTTTTCTCATACCTGCTTTGTGCCGCATTCGTAAACGTTGTGCTTGGCTTTTAGTCTGAGATTGAGAATTATAAGTAAAGTTTTGCAAATGCGGGAATGTAATATAGGAATCGACGGTAATTTGCATGTTAGCTTGAAAGTCGTTTATCTACAAATAATCTAGTCGCTGCATTTTACATGTATCTCCATGATTCAGGTGCTTATCCATCTCAGGTAACAAAAAACTGAATGCTGTTGCATAGTGTAATCAATTAAGTTTAGCTGCAATTTTAAAGATTTGATTCCGATTTGGATTCCGATTTTGGGCAGCACAACCGCACAAAAAGCACACGCACACACACTCATACACACATAGACACAGAAGGATAGGTCTAGGCGGTTGACATCACCTGCTGCATTAGCTGCGAGCTTAGCTAACGTTGTTGTTGTTGTTGTTGGTGCGTGTGTTTTTGATTTTTCCAGCGCAGGTGGCAGCAGCAACAACAACGCAGCCTTTGAGTAAAATAAATGATAATGGCCTCAATGATTATGCATCGGCACGTTTCTCATCGCGGCCTGCACACACACACACACACACACATACACAGATATATATACACACACAGCCACACACAAATACAGGTGTTACCTTCTATGTGTATTTGTGTGAAAAAGGATTCAACGGCCACTGCTGTTTTTGGCTTTGTGATGGCGTTTAGCTGTCGTTGTTGTTGTTGCTGTTGCTGTTGTTGTTGTTGCTGTTGTTGTTGCTATTGTTGTTGTCTTTTATCGCCACTCGCGCGATTTGCCCAAACAAATTACAAATTGGGTTTAACTACTATTTTTTATGCTGCCACGGCGTTTTGCCAACAGCTCCTGCCGCTGCCGTTGCTGCGTTTCAGCCCCCGCTTCCGCACACGCACACAAATACACACACACAAACGCAGTAACATACACACACACACACAGTGCCTGTGTGCCGTCCAACCGTCTGTACACTCTTTATTTTTTATTGTTGTTTGATTTTCGCGGTCGCGCGTTTGGCTTTTCATTTCATTAAACTGGGCCCGCCAATGTTTTTGCGGCCACGTTATGTCAACAGCAAATCGGCCGGACCCAGCCAGGATCCGTTCCGGCTCCAGCTTTGGCCTGGACGCACTTTTTGCCATGTTAGAAATACATTAGGCGGTTAGACCGCGCCGTATCTGTCGCTGTTTGCTCTGTTACAAAAAAAAATAAATAAAAATAAAATAAAAAGAAAAGGAAATCAGCATCTGAATGTATTCCACAAACAAACGAGAAAAACTTGGGCAAGCTGCGACCATTTGACCGCTCGCTTGTTGATATTGTATGGCAGGTTTCACATTCCATCAAATGTTTGTAAAATATAGGCGTTATTAAAGCGATATGATCTAAAAACAAGCAACAACGGGAGAGCCTAACAAGCCGACGTTCAAATACTCTTATAGACATCTGCGTTTCCGCAGACATGCAAGGAGATTGTGGAATTTGTTTAAGATATCTTATTAAAAAGAACCCTTAATCATACAATTAGTCAGTTGTCGGTCGATTATAGAAGGATAAAAGTATAATATATAGAAGTATATATAACATATAGAACGAGAAGGTAAACAGCAAAGTAAATGCCAAGCTTGGTCAAACAAATCTTGAAAAACAAACGAGAAGGTAAGGATATCTTCGCCACGCCGAAGATTTAATACCCTTGCAGACATTTGCCTAATGCAGCTTCAAAATGCTGAGTTTGTTGAGATATCCTTGAGAAAAGAATATTTTGAGATGCTACTATTCCACCGATCTTTCCAATAGCAGCTACATGTTATAGTGGTCCGATGTTGATCAGCTTTTGCATGCGTAAGGGGAGTATAGTAAAACATATAAATTCCGAGTTTGGGTAGAGTATCTTGGTAAACAAAAGAGTTGCTCATCGAAGTAATTAGTTTTGGACCGACCGTTCCTATAGCAGCTATATGATATAGTGAACCGATCCAAGCGGTTCCGACTTATGAACTGCCTGCAACTGCCTGAACTGCCTTTTGATGCTGATCTAGAATATATATATACACTTAATGGGATCGAAAGGGTATTTTTCTAGGCGTTTCATGACAAAGATGTAATATACTCTAGAAGGATATAAAGAGGATGGATATATGAATCGTTACAGGGCTATTTTTTCGGTTCGGTTCTCTGTCTCTCTCTCTCTCTTATCCTCCTTTTGCCTCCCACTATCTCGCTCTCTTAATTGAAAGTCGATTACAACTAAATACTGTTAAGCAGGCGATGCCTTGGATGCCTTCGTATAGCCCAGCTCTAACGTCTCGAGATATTCTCATATCAGTTTTCCTACGCCTAGCAAACAGTTCAACAGAACTGAACAAAAAATACATTTTTTTTTTCGCTTTTAACGAACGTATATTATTTTTTGCAATTATTTAAGAAAATATAAAAATTCAAGCTCTTTGCATTAACACGAACGGTAAGTAGCCCAAGCCAGGCAAGGCATCTAATAATATTGGATTCCCAATCAAATCGCATCGAACAGATGAATAAAGCAAAGGACGGTATCCAACAGAGGATGAGCCCAATCCCTTCCTGCTCGGTGCGTTCGCCAGCCAACCGGGAGCGCCGTGCCGTGGTGGAATTGTACGAGGGGCCACAGATGATGCCCGATGAGGCGATGCTGCCGATGCCGCCGCACAATATGGCGCGCAGTCCTGGCCATTTGCTGCAGGACACACAACAGTGGCTGGGTCGCTGGCAGATCCTGTTGCGCCTACTGAAGCGTCGTATCTGAGAGATTCGTTTTGTTATTGTCGGTTTTAACGTTATGTTGTTGCGCTTTGCCCCAGTTGCGGTTCCTTTCTGATAAATCCCATTTTGATTCCAGTTTCTGATTGTTTCAAATGCAGCTTTGCATTTGCGCTCGCGTTACAAATTGATCGAAAAGTGCCCTCCTGTAGGTAATGCCCAGTTTTTGAATGGTATATACTTAATAAAGTTCTACAAGTGCATTTATTAGGCTAAGCATCGCCGTTTCGATCTCATATTTGGAACTAACTGACCCAGAGCCACAAAATTTGATTGCTTTGAAATTTGAACTCTCTGAAATATTGAAATTTGCAGAAATTAAAATTTGACGTTAAATCCATTACTTTTCTTCTATTTTCTGGCCATTTGACTGTATAGAATTTTCACCAAATTTCCATGAAATAGGGTTGACAGCATTCAAGTGTTTTCCAAGCTAGATTCAATCTTAGTACTGCACTGCACACTAAATACATCGTGCCTGATTGAATAACTGATTGAGGATCAGTACACAGCTCCAAGAGTTAGATCCAGGACGGGATTTTAGTAGGTTTGACTAGGTGCAAATGGCAAGTGGAAATGGCAAATGGAAAGCTACAGCAATGCAGCGAATGAATTATGATTTGCAAGCATTCAACTGAGCGTCGAACTAGCAAGCGAGAAGATGCTGGTTCAAATCAGGCAACAATTTCTATAACTGAACACTTTATTTGATATTTTTAAAGTAAAAAGGTAAAAAGGGTATATTGTATTTGTGCAAAATGTAAATGTATGTAACAGGCAGAAGGAAGCATTTCCGACCCCATAAAGTATATATATTCTTGACCAGCATCAATAGCCGAGTCGATCTAGCCATATCCGTCTGTCCGTCTGTCTGAAATTTTAGCTGTAGGTCCTAGTGCCTGCGCAGATCGAGTTTGTTTCCGATAATCGATAACTTGCCCCGTTTCCAAGCAATCGATAAAAATTAATATGGATATCCTATTTTTTGGGCAATTTTGTAAATAATAAGAGCTAGAGTCACCAAACTTGACATGTAGCTTTTAGAATAGTATATATATTTGCATTTGGTGTTGGAAAAAGAAGGTTTAGGGTATCCTCTAGTCGGGAGCTCCCGACTAGAACCTCTTATTTTCTAATCAGTTTTGTTGCTACGAGTCGGTCGACATCGGGTAATTTCTTCTAGCACAATATACAAATAAACAAAATGCACATATTCCGTATTTGAGCCCAGTCTCGTATGCATTTCTGTACTTTGCACACAGAATAACTGCTAGTCGAGCACACTTTCCGGCTGCATCTGGCTGGCCCTTTGTTTGTGCTTGCTGGAGCAGAGGGAGGCTGCATTTCTTCTTTCTTTTTTTTTGGCCATGGCGTTACATTAACAAAGGATTTCGACACCACAGACACAGAGAGCAATTTAAATGTATTAAGGGTCGCTGTCGAGCTGCAGAACAGCTGCCCAAATCGCAAAAGGCCCCCAGCAACAACCACAGCAACAACATGGTAATGGCAACATTAAAATAAGTTTTAAAAACTAAGCAGCGCGGCTTATGCCACGTCTCAAAACAACAACAACAACAACAACAACAGCAAAAGCAACAGCAAAAAAGTGCCACAACATTTAGAATAGAATTTTTGTAAAACAAATCTCAGGCGCGGCTTCCCCAAGGTACAAGCGGCAAAAGCGCCGCGCGGGCAGCCAGGGTAGCCAGAGCGCACGTGCAGCCGTCGGGGCAGAGTTGCCACCAGCTCACATGTGGACTGTGCATGTTACAAATATGTATTTTTAAAAGATAAAACAATTAGAATTACTGGCAACATATAAATATAATTGTGTTAAGAATTTGTATAAAATGAAGCTTTATTTTGTTAATATTTTTTTTTATTTTTTTTAAATGAATCAGATTTACCACAATTATAGAATCGAAGAGCATATATTTTCTTATTGCTACAGCTGCCAAGACTGAAAATCCACAACAAGCCTTAAAAACCTGGGCTTGGTTCGTGGTTCAAACCAACGGAGGCCTGCTTTGAGGATGGGCTTCTCCACATTTTCAAAACCAGACTTGACCGCAAATCTTGCTTCTCACAAGAAAAATAAAAAAGAATTGAATTCTTTTCAGGTTTATATTTGGCTTTGCCTTCCCTAATTAAACTGAAGACTCGGTTAAAGGTAGATACAATATTGAGAATTTCCGACTCAGTCGGATTCGGCTTAATTAAAATAGCGATAACGATAACGATAACGCTGCCGATAGCGATGACGATAACGATAATGATGACGATAACGATACCGATGACGATAGCGATGACGATGACGATACCGAAGCTGATTGCGATTACGATTTCATAACTCTCCATGCGATTACTTTTACCTTTGCGATAACAATTGCGATAACAATTTCGATAACAATTGCGATAACAATTTGGATAACAATTGCGATAACGATTACAAGTAAAGTAACAATAAAATTAAGTACCTCTCTCTCTCTTTCTCTCTCACTTTGCTTCGTCAAACTTTTCTCTCTCTCTCTATTACTCTTAGTCGAGCAACCTGAGTGCGCTTCGGATCATTTTCGATTACTCTCTTTCGCAATGTGCATGCGCGACTCGAATGTAGGACAACACTTGAGCCCTGGCCCCGACTGCAAAAGTGCATTCCGGCCTGCTTTGAGCTTGAAGTTTATATTATTTGCTTTGTTTTTGTTTTGAGTTTGGTTTTGTCTTTTTTCGTGTAGGCCCAAACACACAATGTTGCAACGCCTGATGCTGCCACCCACCTGAACCCTGCACACCCCCCCCCCCCCCCCCCCCCCCCCCACCCCGCCCTACGGCCACTGACAAAACGTCAAAATATAATTTTTGCGTGGATTTGCGTCTGCACCACAGCAGCAACAACAATAATAAATGTTCAAAAATAAAAAGCACTGAAAATAGACAATTTTTTTACCACTTTTACAACTGCTGCCTGCTGCTGCTTATCGCAGCGCAGCCTGAGCAGCACATTAATGTGGCCTATGTGACTGGAGCTGGCAGCTGGGAGCTGGGAGCTGGCAGCTGGGTAGTGGGGAGCTTGAAGCAGTTGCCTGCGCGTTGCATGTCCTACTGTGAGACATAATTTTTAATAATCTACAACATGACCGGGTTGAAAAGCGGCAGCACCGTGGCCCTTAGCTGAGCGGCGCTGCCCCAAAAAATACGCGCATGCAAATGGCTTAATTTAATATATAATTATACCCTGTAAATGGCAAACGTATGACAATTGGGTCTGTGGAACCAACAGCTGAGCTGCAGGGTCTTAAGCTGAAAAGCTTCCAAGCATTGATTAAATATATAAACCCAACCTTTTCAACACTTCAGATATAAACCTTAAGTTGCAGCCTCTAGATGACGCAATTTCTTTTTAATTCAGCACAGAATACATTTATCCTGCGGATAATTTGCGGTGCTTCTTGATAGCTTCATTGCATATCCTACAGCTTAGTATATTGATCACTGAACATCAAAATCTACGTACACTTATCGCATTTAGTTTCAATGCTTTTTCCAGGACACACCAATTCTCATTGTAATATTTGCCAAGCAGATTAAGTGGCTTGCAACTTTTGCCAAGCAGATTAAGTGCCTTGCAACTTTTGCCAAGCATGTTAAACTTGCAAATTAGCCTGGAAAAAATGAAATTTTTGCATTTGATCTTGAATGGATCAGTTAGTATGCTTATGCCCGACTACAAGTCGGACATGCTCCGTCGGCTGTTGGGCCCTGGCCAACTCTCTGGCTGCTATCTGGCACTCCGGTGCGCTAAGGTGCTAAGAATAATGTGTATATGCATAGGTGTACTATATGCGCAGATTGTCTTGTCTAAGCCGGAGATTGATGCTGCGACGCACAAACACCAAGCAAACAACCCTTGCCCCGCGCAATCCCAGTGCTGTAATTAAATTATCATGCGAGCAACGTAAAGTTGCCTACTTTTAGGCTGAGACATTGTTGCCCTGCATATGTAAAGATGCCGCTTAGTGTGGCATGTGGCACGCTCTATGTCTGTCTGTGTGTGTGTGTGTGTGTGTGTGTGTGTGTGTGTGTGTGTGTGTGTAGGAGAGGAGGGCGGAGCTCTTGCTGCGGTCTTGGCTACTGAATGTTGTAATTCAAACGACAGCAACGGGTTAACATTAGCGCAGTTTTTATGGCCATGCGTTGGATAAGTGCTCGTTGTCGTATACCTCGTTGTTGTTGTTGTTGTTGTTGTTGTGCTGCTGCTGTTATCGCATCTCCATGATTAGCCTTAAAATTTATGCCAGCCGCAAAAGCCATTTGTGGCAGCAACAACAACTGCATTAAACCAAGACACATTTCCTAAAAATCCTCTACGAATAACAGCAGGCTGTTAAGTGTGGAAAGTGCTGTTATCGAGCTCTCGATTATTAACAGTGATCGATAATCTGTTACTGTTATGTCGCTTGAGCTGTTAGTTCAGCTTTTAGGCTAGTTGGGAATTTTAAAATTGAATATGAGGTTCTATTCCTCCGCAACCTTTGGTAGGAGAGACCGAAGGGTCTTGAAGTTTAGAAATATTTTACACATAATTGTCTTGAAAGGGCCAAACAGGACTACCATGCAAATGCAATTACTTATTGGTTTGGAAGATGTCCTCAGCAAGGAATCAAGGTTCTGTTCCGTTCTAGCACCGTTTTCCTTAGAACTCTGATCTGAGTTGCAAGTCAAAAGTAACAAATATGCACCCTTATTTTGAAGATGGTAACATTTCGCATTTTCTTCTTAAATGTGAGTCGCCTTTCTATGCGAATTTCATAACATAAAGTATTAACGAGATTATATTGCTTTCTCTCTTTCTCGGTGTTTAATCGTCTCTCCATCTTACTCGTTGTCTTCTTTGGTCTGATTCGCTCTTGCTTACTCTCTTTCTCTCTCTCTATGTTTTCTTTAAGTTCTGTTTTAAAGAACTGTCCCAATGCATTTGTCCCTCTAACACATTTACTGCCTCTAGCTCTCTCTCTCTCTCTTTCTCTCTCTCTCACTTATCCTTTATCTTTCTCTCTTTCACTCATCATCTGTGTTTATCTCTTTCTTAGTCATCCTCTGTCTTTAGCTCTCTCTCTCTCTCTCTCTCTCTCTCTCTCTCTCTCTCTTCCTATATGTTTGTCTCTCTGTTCCGACTCTTCCATTCGAATCATCCGATATCAGATGCTTTCCGTAAAGCCCCAACTAGTTAGGGTTGGGTTTAGGTTTAGCTTAAATTGGCCCATGAAGATGGCGGCGCACTTAGCGGTCAGTTGTTGGTTGTGTGTCAATTTGTTGTGCGGCAAGGGGCGGATCGGGTGGGGTTTTGGGCGCAGTCGAGTTCTTTGGGCAGCAGCTGTGTTGACCAAATGTGGACTTAGGACGTGCTTTTAATTTTTAAAAACTGCTCTTAAAACGTGATAAAACACGTTGAAACTGCAAATAGTTGTAAGAGACACACAAAAAGCGCACCAATACACACTCAACGCTCGCAATACATACATAGGTACATATGTATGTGTGCATGTATACACAATCTATGCAAGTATATTTATGTATGCAGCGATATTTTTTATATAATGCGCGCAAATCTCCAGCCACTAAGTGGAGGTGGGCCCGAGTGTGCGAGAGAGAGAGAGAGAGAGAGAGAGAGAGAGAGAGAGAGAGAGAGTGAGTGAGCGAAAGGGTGACGGGGGGAGTGAGAAGGGGCATGGAGGGCAAGCTGTAAGTGGTGGACACCAAAGGCAACAAACAAAAAAATGTGTAAAGCGTGCATTTACATAATGAAAGATGTAGCAATATGTGACTGTATATGCATATTCCCTTTCTCCCAGTGTATGTGTGTGTGTGCGTGCGTGTGTGTGTGTGTGTGTGTGTGTGTGTGTCCGAGTTCGGCTGGGGATAAGCAGCAAACGGGACATCATGTGCGTCGCGTTTTTTTCTTATATGCCCGGCAAGGGGTGTGCGAGGGGTTTGGCGGTTTGCAACACACACCGAAAAAAAAAAAATGAAATTATAAAATATTGAGGCGAACAAGAAATGCACAAAGCACACACACACACAAGCAGTGGGCGCTGGGTGCTGCTTGACTGCCCGCACTGCTTGCCGGATTGGGCTCTAGATGGCGCTCTGAACCACACTTACGGGCACACACAGAATTAATGTCCCTTTAGATACAAATGCAATTTATAAGCGCGCGCGCGAGCGTGTGTGTGTGCGTGTGTGTGTGTGTGTGTGTGTCCGAGCAGCCCCAAAAAATGCTTTCACATGGTCGCTCAGCATCTTCTACTCTCCCGCTGCTGCTTCTTCTTCTATTTTTTTTTGCTACATAATTTTGAATAACATTAAAATTATTAGCTACAAATGCAAAAAAAAAACAAAAAGAAAAACAGAAAAAATGCGCAAAAACGGGCGTAGCCCGGCAACAAATGTGCATAATGAGCCCTGGTCAGAGTCACAGACGGCGTTGGCGTTGGAGGCGCGGCGGGGGCGTGGCGGGGCCAATGTGTCTACGCGGTTCCTTGCCGAGATTTACGCGCGACACATTTTTATACCCTGAACCCATTAAAAATGGGTATATGGGTATATTGTATTTGTGCGAAAGCCAAATGTATGTAACAGGCAGAAGGAAGCTTCTCCGACCCCATAAAGTATATATATTCTTGATCAGCATCAATAGCCGAGTCGATCTAGCCATGTCCGTCTGTCTGCCCGTCTGTCCGTCCGTCTGTCCGTCCGTCCGTACGTATGAACGCAAGGATCTCAGAACCTATAAGAGCTAGAGACTTGAAATAGATGTAGATGCGATTATCGATAACTTGCTCCGTTTCCAAGCAATCGATAAAAATCGATATCGATATCCTGTTTTTTGAGCAATTTTGGTAAATAATAAGAAAAAAATCGAATATATATATGCATTTGATGTTGGAAGAAGTGGGTTCAGGGTATCCCCCAGTCGGGAGCTCCCGAATAGAACCTCTAACTTGTTTTTTTTTTTGGTTTTTTGCCTGCCCGTCGTGGGGCTAAACACTTTTCAGTTGATATCGCAAATCTTTTTTCGCAGCGCTAACATAATGATATGTGGCATATATTTTTTCTTTCGCCAGCAATCGTAGGCGGTGGCGGGGGCGGGGAGGGGGGGTGCGGTGGGCGTGTCGACATTTGCATGCAATTTGCGTTGTTGATTTTTGGGCGGGCGGCGGCCAACGTCCACTTGAGCAGACCTTGTCGCCAAAAAAAGAAAGGAAATAAATAAAATAAAAAAAAATAAAAATTAAGCTCCGTGCTGTGGCTCGGGCTTTAGCAAACGGACATGATAAGATTCCGGTACTTGCCATAAAAAGAAGAAAGTAGGAAAAGAATAAGAACCAGAACAAACTACAAAAAAATAACTAGCCAGTGCCTCGGTTCACGGTTCAAACCCATGTCCGGCCCGAACTAAGGGTCCCTTGCTGCTCCCATATTCCACTCCGATATCGATATCCGATAGCTTGAAAGGCAAACAAGTTATGCCAGCCATATTATATAGTATAGCCCGATCCGAGCGGTTCCAATATGTGTACTACCTGCAACTGAAACGCGCATCTATTTAAAGTTTCTCCAATCTGTAAAGCTCTTAAAAATATCGAATAATGCCTGAAAAACCCAAGTCTCAGAATCGCATCTGGGAATACGACGAATTTTCGAAAGGATATGATCAACACGCTCTGCCCCTCAATGTGTGCAGGGTACAAATATAATAAGCTCAAGGCTTTAAGACAATTGAGTGCTGGGCCAAGGGTTATCTTGAGAATAAATTGTAATGACAAACTCGACATTGTTGTTATTTGCCTTGTAAAGCCAATGTATTCAGAAACGGGAGTGGCACAGGGTATCTGCTAGTCGAGCACTTGATGGCTCATAGCACACATAGTGCAAATATTTACAAAGAGAATAACAAGAATGCAAGCTTTAACACTAGAATTGAAGCTCATGGTAAATTTAAGCTGATGTTAAACCTCACTTCAACTTCATAATTGTCAGTTTTCTTTTTTTTTTTTGGCTTTTTATTATTTTTGTTGCGTATATATATCATTTGTAGTACATGGTATTATTTGAAAGTGCGCCGCAAATAGATTTCCCAGCGCTCGCTTTTACAATTGCAATGCGCTTTTTCTTCCTGCTCCTGCTCCTGCTCCTGCTCCTGTTGCTGTTCCTGTTGCTGTTCCTGTTGCTGGCGTTTTCATTTTGCGCTTGCGTCGCTTTCGCGCCTTGCGCCGTATGCGATCGAATTCGCGTATGTGATAAACAATGAAATGCTTTAAATCATCGCCCTCATATTGACGGCACGACATTGTGAATAATATAAGCGAATTAATATAAAAAAAAAATCTTATATCATAATTATGCATAGTAGAATTTGGCCCATGCTTGCTGCTCTGCTCCTCGCTCCGACTGCCTTGCTGCTGCTGCTGTTGCTGCTGCTGCTGCTGCTGCTGCTGCTGCTGCTGTTGTTGCTGCTGCTGCTGGTAGTTGGTGTAGTTGTGTTTGCGCAGCTTGGGCGAGGGCGGAGGCAGCTCGTCATCGCGGTCCGAGTAGCGGCGGCGATTGCGTTTGCCGGCCGCATTGAAATGTTGACGTAAGTAATCGTAAATGCTCATATTTCTAATTGTGATCAAGTTGATGCTGTTGCAGCTGTTGCTGTTGCTGGTGATGTTGTTGCTTTCGATTGTCGTTTGCCTGTTGAATGGTCCCGATTTATGCAGCGCCACATGCTGTAGATACCGCCAACTGCCGCACGCCGTCTGCGTGCGAGTTGGAATCTTTAAGTTAGTTGTTGTTGTTGTTGTTGTTGTTGTTGTTGTTGTTGTTGTTGTAGTTGTTGTTGTTGTTGTTGCTGGCAGCATTGGCTTCGTTTTGTTGTTTGCATCGCGAACATTTTGATCTACAGCTGTGACTGCAACGCGTCAATGATCAGTGATCAGCGGACCCCAGAACATTTTTGATATTTTGGTATCATCTTCGGTTAAAAAGAATTGACGGCCCAAATGTACAAACTCCTTGAGCGACACCTGGCCATCGCCATTCTTGTCTATCACAGCGAATGAAATGGCAGCATCCTCTTCAGATAGTCCCAGACAGCGGAAGAAGAGCTTATATTGTTCGAGATCCAAGTGGCCAGTGTGATCAAAGTCGACGGCCTGTTGGCAATGCACATTCAGTTACAATTGAATTCTTGATATTTATTTGAATTATTTAACTCAACATTTACCTTAAACAAATAGGGCAAAAAGCGTCCAATGCGCTTGGCCATTTTCTTGTCGTTCAGTCGATGATGCAAATCGGTTAGGAACTGCTCAGCAGTTACCAGATTATATGGTGTTATCTCCCCGAATTGCTCCTCCCATGTTTGTTTGATCACCTCGTTAAATTCGGCGGCCACATCCTCCGACAAATGGCCCAAATCGCTGAAGCGTTTGGCCAGCAATGTGAAATCATCGTACGAGATGACACCATCGTGATTGACATCCATAATGCGGTGCAAGGTGCGCATTTTGCGGCGCCAGAACTCTGAATCGCCCTGAAAATAATAATTTTTGTTTTTATTAAAACGGTTACAAATTTCAATTTTCAAATCAAAATTCAAATTCAACTGACTGCAACTGCTTGTTGCATGCACTGCTTAATATCTTAAACATTTTACGGTTTTTAATTTTCATGTATACCCTGACAACTTTGCACTGCTTGCATAAACTGCTTGTACTGTACACACACACACACACACACACACACACACACACACACACACACTTACCAACGAAATATCAGACATAACGGTTTCATATTTAACTGTGCACTGCTTGCATGCACAGCTTGCATGTTCACTATTAGTCAAGACACAAACCACGGACCGCGCCTGCGCCACCCACCCACCCACACCCAACACTTTTGCGCAGCTGTCGCGAGCTCAAAACAAATTTCAACTTCCCAAATTGAAACAAAAGAAAAACTCGTTTCAAGCACACAGACAGACAAGTCAGACACAGACAGTTCGTTCGCTTACCCGTTCGCTGCGCTTCACATTTGCATTTTTGCGACGTCGCTCGAACTCATCATCCGAATCCGAGTCACTGTCGCTGTCCGTGCGGCGCAGGGTGGCTGCGCCGGCGGTTTTCTTTGAATATTGGCGCACATTCTGCAGCACGACTGGAGGGCGTTGCATAAGATTCCACGCACCGTGTGTTGCGCCATTTGATGATTTGACCAGACGCTGCAAGCCATTAAAAATAAGATAAAACAATTCGATTAGTTTTTCTTTTGAACTGTTTAAGTTACAGTTTGTGAGCAACTGGCCCGTGACAACTGCTTGCGACACCAACACACACACGCTAGCCTACTCCATTTCGAATTCGCTGTGGTTTTCTTTCGAGCAACACGCACATACATAAATCAAGTCTGTTAATTTTGTTTTCGCCCATTGTTTACTGTTGCATTAACAGCGCGCTGTTACACAACATTCGCGCTCATGCTGCGCTGTGTCCTTCAGCTTATGTGTACATACATATATGTACGTTTGTGTTTATATATAAACAAAAAACTTGCGTTATATACTCATGGTGGTTGTTGTTATTGTTAAGGTCAGTTCTAGATTCTTGTTATGGACCGGTTTCAACGGCTACTTAACAGCGGCCCTGAGACCATTAAACAACAGTCGTTGTTTTGAGAGGCATTGATGATGTCTCAAGTCACCACGTGGCGCAAACGCAAAAAGAACCAGTGCATGTTCAACTAGAATGTTGTAGAAGTTGGATTATTTCTTGATTTAGTCTCTCCTTGACCCTGTGTATGGGGAGAGAGAGAAAGAGCGCGCGCAAAGGAGAGGCGGCCTGATCAGCTACACACACATACATACATACATGTGTGATTGTGGGAGTAACATTACAAACGCAACAACAACAAATCACCAATTTGTGTATGTGTGTATATATGAACATATTAATGAGTTTTTGGGTTTTGTTATTGTTGTTGTTGCCAGACTGTTGGAGATAACCGTATACAAAGTTTCTTTTTCTTTCTTTCTTTCTTTTCTTGTATTTGGTTTTTAATTACAACCCCAAAAACTTGTCAACAACTTCAGGGAGCTACAAAACTGCTGGCCAAAGATAATGGAAATTGTAGCAGCAAATGCTGCTGGTCTCATTATGATAATTATGATGACATCACTAGCATTAAGTATGTATATTGTTGAGTTTCTCGCATTCGGATACAAAATAGCCTGACTTGTATACAAATGCTGATCGCGAGCCTCTTCTCAAACATAGGCACACACACACATATACATGTGTACATTAAAATATATTTATGCACGCGTGTGTTGATTAAAAGAAAAAAAAACAAAAAAGAAACAAAAAAGAGCTAAGCGTGTGCCAAAAACTCAATGACAAGCCCGCAAATAACATTTGATGTATGTATGCCGAGCGAAGAGCGAAGAAGCACAAGGCACAAAGGAAGTCAACAAAAATGCGAAAATAAGGAGAATGCAAAACTGAAAGAAGTTGGTGCATGCATTTGCTAGAATAGTCAAACACAATCAAGCGACGAGTGGGTTTGTGGCGCGGCTAAGCGCAACTATCGCCGCAAAAAGTGTGGCAGGCTTAGCTGGCTGCCTGATTTCCGTTTCGCCAGGTAAACATGAAACAGCAGGCGTTTATTGTTTGTTTTGTTATTGCTTTTTGGCGCTTTGCGCATGTTTTCATTGCCCAAATTTGCGCAGTTCGCCGAGTCGCCCCCATTTTTTGTTTTTGCTTTCGGGGGATGGTTTGAAACTTGCCATCACTCAGCGGCGAATTTGTTATTGTTGTGTGTGCAGCATTGAAAGATATGCGTCTTTGGCGGCAGTATTGATTGCTGTTATAGTAAAAGGGGGAAGCAGTGCGAATCAATGCAGACATATGCACATACATACATATGTATACATATAGACTGATCTATATACGTGTGCATATTTGAGTGTGTGACTGTTTGTATTGCTGGTATTTGCATTCGCTTCTCTTTACTTGTGCCACGCTTACAAATTGTTTCTCAAATCCGACTTTAAATTCTGTCTCTGTCGCACACATGGTGGCCTCATTTCTTGTAACTATAACAGATGCCCCTTCCCACCAATCGCACGCTTCTCTTTTTTGGAGCTCTTTGTAATTTAATTAAACTAACACACACACACACACATATAGATATGCACATACACACATACAAACGCTTACATTGTTGTTGCAATCGCTCGCTGAAAGCGGCAAGGTGGAGATGGGTTGCTGCTGTTGCTGCAGTGCGCCCACCGTTGCGGCCATATTGCGTTCCAGGATTTCTCTCGAAGTACGCAATAGACCACGGCTTACAATGGAGAGGGCCATGTTAGCTGTTGTTGTTGTTGATGTTGTTCTGTAACTGTTTTAATATCGATGCCAACTTAACGGTATAGTTTAGCAATTACGCTCTCTTCGTCTTTGTTTGTGTTTCTGTTATTGTTGTTGTTCTTGTTGTCCCTGTATCAGGCAAGCGAAAAAAAATGTGCAAGCTGACGGCGTTGCTTAGCTGCTGGTATTGTTGTTGTTGTTGTTTTTGAATTTATTGTTGCAGTTGCAGCGCGCATTTAACAACCGGTTTAAAGTCACAGACACAAGCACACTTTTATAAAATTTAAAAAAAGTTGCACTTTTGTTTGCTTTTGCTTATTACACTTTGCTGCTCCTTTTCAACTTCTTATTCGTCTTCTTCTTCTTCTTCTTGAACTTCTTCCTTCGATTTCTTTCCGTTCAACACGACCGTTCACTGGCGAGTTCCAAATCGTTTTGACAGCGACTGTTGCGGCGAAAAGAAATGAAAACAACATCGACGGCAACGCTGTACCAGAAGCGGCAAAGGCGCTTTAGGTGTATGTGTGCTTGCGTGCGCCTGTGTGCGTTCGTGTGTGTTGTGTCTGTGCGTGGTGTTTATTAAATTGGGAGTGCGAGCATAGAAGGGCAGCGGCGATGTTACCAGAAAAACAAAATACAAACAAACATGCGGCAGACACATACATACATACATATGCACATTTTAAAGCCAGCGGCATTATTAAAAACAACCTCAACAGATGTTCAGGCCGGTCAGTGACTCTCAAACCGTTGCACATCATGTTTTTAACTATGTATGTACGTATGTTATGAATGCATTTGTATTTTCAAGCGATTGAATAAAGAGAAATTTAACCAAGCGATGAATGTATGCTCGTATGAACGTAAATTTACGGTAGTTTGTATGTTTATTGATAAAGTAAACGAAAACTTACATATTTAGGTCGGTGTGACAGACCGTCTGATGACGTTGGGTCGCTTTCAATGTGCCAGACATACATATGCATGTGTTCATATGGATTTATGTATATGCACATACATATGTACACACATACATATGTAAGTGCCATCGGCCAAACGGTCGAGCGAGTTTTCTGTTTTTGTTCTACTTCCACACACTTCATTGCCTCACGCGCAAGCACACGTACACGTGAATATTTACACACGCACACTAAATGAACGAACATAGATGTATGTATGTATGTGAACACATATGTAGCTCTGTACATGTATGCATAGATATGCTTGTGTTATATAATCCGTCTTGCTCAGATGGAGCGCACTCTTTACTCTCTGAGCATAACCTCTTTGCAAGCGATCCTGCAGCGAGTAAATTTAAGAGAGCCAAAATATAAACAAGAACGGGCACTTAGAATATGAGAAGGAGTCGGCAAATGACTTTCAAAAAAATTAACAGCTGTAATGCATCAGCTGTTATGCATACAAATGCTGATAGGTACATATACATACATACATATATACATGAACATGTACACGTAGTTTTTGTTTTGATTTACGGGCCTAAATGTGCAACAAGTTACAAGTTGGCTTAGACTGTAAATGGCCCCAAGCAGCGCCATTTGTTGTTGTTACTTTGTATTGGGAGTGCAATGCACTCGGGCTTCATTCAATGTGTTGGTGTATCTGTTTCTCAGTATGTGTGTTGCGTGTGTGTATGCATGTGTGCATGTGAACGTGTACAAGAACAACGCGCGCATCGACATCGGCTGACTCCCAAATCGTCACGTAACATTTTAAGCGCCGGCGAATGCAAACGATTTACATGAAACAACAACAGGTTCAAGAAAATGCTTGCAATATGCATGTTGACATAATTACATGACACTGCATGTATGTATGTATGTATGTGTTTAGTTGTATCAAAAATCATTTGGGAAGTAATAAAGATGGGTAGAAAAATAGTTGCGTTTATCCAAAGAAAATATGAATTACTGTTATGGTTATTTTCTTTCTATTATTTATACAGTCCAAATAATTATCTTCTGCGACGATCTCCTCATTTGGCTCTGTGCCAATTAATTGAAATTTTTCGTGGGGCCATTTTATAAACTTCACGGCTTAAATCCACACATTTCGTATCTTTTGGCAGTGCTTTTGCTCAAGAGATAGACGAAAAGTTCGGGATATCAAGCAGAGTGGATAGATAAGTATTGATTATTTAAGGTTTTGACTTCCAAAATATTCAATATTTTGTGCATATAAAATACATTTAAATAAAAGGCATGTGATTAAAGAAAAAAAAACAAGAATTAGTAAATATTATTAAGAATGTAGAGCATATTGAATACCCTGCCCAGCTGAGCAGACGATCCAATGTTCCAGTTAAGCTTGGTATGCAGATCGTTGTTAACAAAAATGCATTGAATTGAGGATTTTATTCTATTCGCAGCTCTCAGCTTTTCCATTTAAAATAACACCTCGATATAGTTAATAAGGTTTATTTGATTTCGAAATACAGCTTCGAGCGCAATTTATATTAATGGCAAACTTTTATACAGTGTGTTTACATTTGCGTGATCAGCGTACTAACCATGACGTCACATGCTTAAGCCTGGGACTGCCAAAAAAAAAAAAGAAATGCGTATTTTGAAAAGTACAGCTGCATGCTAATTTAATGCTTAAGATAAAAAACAACAAAACACAAGATGGCGTAGAAAGTTTGTATACTATTTCATATATGTATGCATGTGAATACATATGTATGTACATACATACATATGCCTATAAATCTGCGACCGGCTTATTAAAATGCGAAGCATTGTGTGTACACACATACATATGTAAGTGCATATGTATGTATGCATGCTTCCCAGCCTACACGCGACGCGTGTAATTGTAATTGTAATTGCTCGTGCTCCCGGCGCTGAAGCGTGGAGCGACTCCGAGACATGCGTATGTATATATGTACATACATACATATATGTATGTATATGTACTGTTAAGAAGTTCGGTTTTTGTTTATCGTTCTGTCCTCTGTTGTTTTTGTTGCTCTTTTCGATGTTGGCTTTTTGCTCTGCTTGAGCGCATGGTGTTTTTTTTCAAGGTTTTCTTTTTCGCCTGTTTGAGATTTCCGCAACGCCATTTAATTTTTGGCGTACGTGTTGCGCCTCATTGTCGTCTGCCGGCTCAACAACAAGAGTTGAGAGTTTTTGATACTGGTATTTTTCAATTTCATTGATGCTACGCTCTGCATCCGCACCGCACAGTTACTTGACATGCAACATGGAGGGCGAGCGCGTCAGTGTCTGGGCTCTGGGGTCGGCAATTGCCGCTGCGGTTTTTGTATGCGGATTTTGGCACGTCAGCACCGTTATGCCGGCAGTGAGAGAGTCAGCCGAAACGGCGCACTTTTCATTTTATTTTTTTTCATTTGCAGCTTTTGATCTGAGTTGAGCATTAAATGACATTGTATTGAGCGCCTTTGTATGTGTGAGTGTGAGTGTGAGTGCATGCAAATATGTATGTGCGTGTATGCGTATTTTTGAGGTCGTGGTGGCATTGCCAGACAGCAGAAAAGTGTACGTGCGTCCTTTTTGTTGTCGTAGGTTCTAGATGCTGAACTTACAGCTAATTGCAGCTTTATGCACTTATGTATGTGTGCATGTATGTACATATGTATTTGTGCATATGCGTGCATTTCTATGTTTATTTACAAATATTCATGGACAGCCAAAACTGTCGCCTTATCAGCGACCTGCTTTTGCTGTTTTTCATTTAATATAATTATTGTTGTTGTTGTTATTGGCATTGATAAAAAACAAAAAAATATATAACAACAGCAGCGGACTCTTTGTCCATCATTAATTTGAAAGTGCGGCGTGGTCGCTTTGTATGTAAAGATTAGTCCAAAAAGTAAACAGAAATTATCGAGTGTGCTCGAGGGTAGCTCGACAAGTTATTTAGTTCAATTCTCACACTTGGCGTAGAAAGTGCTCGAAAGTGCTTTGCCATTTTTTTTTGATTTAATGATTTGGGGAAATGCATAACACTAAAGACTGTGTCTATCTATATAACTTTTAACTCTTAAAGATAGCTACTTAATAAAAAAAATACAAATTAAAGATCATGTGAGCATACATATCGATGTACCTACGCAAGGATCCACCTGGTTGTCTAAGCTAACGATGCTGAAACTACATTAATTATTACCTAAATACCACAACTACATATATAGAACATGTGTACAAACTTACATTTTAGCCCTCGCAGAAAAAAGGTCAAACAAATTTGGAAATAGCTTTGACGAATTGGGTAAATAAGGAGCAAAATTGGTAAACAAGGTTTTTAATTTATGGAAAGGTTCTTGTGTGTGTGTGTTCTTATTATTTGTTTGTAAGTATTTTCTTTCATTCGCCTCATACATATATTCTTAACAAAGTTCAAGATTTGTTTATTCGCAACAATCCAAGTCCAAGTTTTGCTCTTTATACTTGTGTATGTATGCATAAAAATGTTTGAAAATTGCTAATAAGCGATTAATAATATTAGAAACTGATCGCAAACAATATTAAGTATGCGAAAAACAATTGGCCTTGCATAGCAAACAAACAATAAAAACCATCCAAGAGAAATCAAAACAACATTAGAAATAAATAAACCGCAGCAAAAGCGTGCTGTATAAATACATATGTACATACAAATGTATGTACATGCATATGCGTATGTGTGTGTATTTACATGATGTGCATGTGTTAGTGGCATTACTCTAGCTGTAATCCACACCAGTAGCGCACCACAGTGGCAGCCCTGACAGTCTGCGACGATTGGCGAGCATAGTACAGTGCACGCTTGATAAGGTTGACTAGTTCAAAGCCGGAGAGAAAAAACTCTTTGTTGACGTGATGTTATGCTTGAACAGAGACTTAACATATTTGGAATAAATGTATTGTTAAGAAGTTGTTCAGCATTGGCTGATTAAATAAAAAGTATTTAATTTTCGTTAATTTACCTAGATTGCTCTTTAGCTTATTTGGACGCTTTTTTAAGCTGAAGCATATGTATTTGTCAAACAATGCACAGTAATATGAGCATAAGCGTGTGTTCATTTTGCTGAGCATTCACTGTGCTATGTATAATGATTACCCCTCCCCAGCATTGGTCAAGTGCTAAGTGGTAAACACCAACTCAACGCTCCGATGGCCCTTCGGCAAGCACAACTGTAAATTTATTTATGGTTATTTTTAGGTCCAAATATGTTTTGCTTTATCTCTCAACAAAAATAAGGTTAATTTGTAACTTCGGCGACGTTGAAGCCGGCACGTTAGCCAAAAAGTTCTGCGTAAACAAAATTGTAAAAAACAACACAAATATATAAACAACAATAACAATGCGCCACAACCTTAATGTACTTATCTTATTACA